CAGGTGCGGGGGCCCTGTGCGGGGCAGGTGCGGGGCTCCCGGACGGAGCTGAAATTGACTTGAGAAGCTCTAGGGTCTGCTGCGGCCACCCTCCCGGGGCCCTGGACGCGGGGGCAGGTCCCTGCATGTGGTCTTGGCTGCTTTGCTTTTCTCACCCTGGGCTTCCCTGAAGACTGGCCAGTGAAATGCAAGTGGCTGGAGCTCGGACTGGGGTTGGGGAGTCGGGGTGTCGGGGCCACTTGACCCCTGTGTGGCTGTGGAACGTCTGGTCTGTGGCCCCTGCTTGTCCTCATCTTTGCTTTTCCTCACCATCTCCACAGGCTAACACTGCTCTCCCCTGGGACCTGAAAAATGGCATCTGGGCAAGGACCGGGCCCGCCCAGGCAGGACTGTGAAGGGCCTGCCCCAGCCTCCACTTCGGGTAAGGGTCCTTCTGCCCCTCGCGCACCCCATACCACCAGGGCGGCGGTGAGGTCAGAGGGCGGGCGGGGACGGGACCAGGAAGGCAACTCACCTTGGACAGGGAGAAATGATCCCCACCCATTGCAGGTGGCCTGCTGGGCCAGTGATCCCGGGAAGCCTGGGGCTGGGAGGGGCCGGGCCTGGGTTGCAGAGGTGGGAGGGGCTGGGAGTGAGCGGGCCCTGGGACGGTGCCATCCCAGTGCCAGGGGCGGGATGGGCGAGAAGGAAGAGTGGGCGTGGCTGGCCTGTCCCTACAGGAGGAGAAATGAGGAAGTAGATGGCTTTTCACACGGGGAAAACGACGGCACCTTTGGGAGGAAGTAAGATGGCTGCCCTTCCCTCTTCCCAGGGGACCTCGGGAAGCCTGCAGCTGTTCCCTGGACTTTGGGCTCAGCCCCAGGTCTGCCACTGTGTCCCTGTCTGACGTATGGCCCCACGATCCCTAAGCCATAGGGCTGGGCTTGTCACACTGAACTCGGGGCCCTGATGCCCGGGCTCTCCTGGCCCCGCTGCGCACTCCAGCTGTGGGACCTTGTGCCAGTGACCATCCTCCTGGCCTCAGGCCGCAGTCCCGCCTGCAAGTGGGGCCGCCTACCTCCCAAGGCTGTCGTGTGGACTAGGTGGAAAGCACTGGGGGTGGACTCGGGGCTGCAGCGGGGAGCCTGCTGCCCGGGGTGAGGACAGCGGTGACCTTGAGGAAGAGTAACCATCCCCAAGGCTGGGGCTGCCCGATCCGGCCTCCCTCCTGACTCCCGGCTTTGATCCTCAGAGGAGCAGGTGGCCCGGGACACAGAGGAGGTTTTCCGCAGCTACGTTTTTTACCGCCATCAGCAGGAGCAGGAAGCTGAGGCGGCTGTCCCCCCTGACCCAGAGATGGTCACCTTGTCCCCAGAGCCTGCCAGGTGAGCAGAGCCCCACGGGGACACCTCAGGGGGGCAGATGCTCACATGGGTCACCATGTAGGTCCTGGGAGCTGGGGAGCTCTGTGGCGGGCCTTTTGCCCTTCTTTCTTTGTGGCTCCTTATTCATTTTGGGCTCCCCCCACCCCCGCTCCGGGGCATCTTGTCCCTGGGCTGAGCCCAGCCCTCACATCTGAGAACACTGTGGGGGCCTCTGGGGAGGGATGCAGGCTGGGGTACCCTGGTCAGAAGGCCTAGCCGGGAGCCTGCGCCGGGCCCTGACAGCTGTCCCTCGCTCCCTGTTGCCTCCCGCGCCTCCAGCACCTTGGGGCAGGTGGGCCGGCAGCTCGCCATCATCGGGGACGACATCAACCAGCGCTTCGACCTGGAGTTCCACACCATGTTGCAGCACCTGCAGCCGACCCCAGAGAACGCCTACCAGTACTTCACCAAGATCGCCTCCAGGTAGGCCCGGCCCTGCCTCTGCCCGCACCCGCGCCGCGCCCTGCCCCGGGGGGACACCCTTCTCTCAGTGTCAGGAGGCCTGTTTGCTTCCCCGTGTCTGCTGTTAATTCACACGTGGCCTGGGCCCGTCTTTGCTTGCTGGGTCCCGGGCTCCTCATCTCCGGAGCGTGAGCACTTGGCCGTTTAGATCAGGACTGCGGACGGGCCGGGTGGGTAGGTGCCCAGAGCCGCCCTGCCCAGCCCGGAAACAGCTGTCCTGATTTAGAGCCACATTTCACACCAAAGGCAGTAAGGTTGCCGCCTCCTACCAGGTCCGGGAATAAGTAGTTGGTGCGGTGTTAGAGACCACATGCCTGGTCATGGCGTGGCTTTGCCACTTGCTGTCTTTTGAACTGCCTGGCCGTCCGTCTCCTCGTCCATCAAATGGAGAGGGCGGCTCAGGACGGGGTCCGCACGCACAGGTGTTAGCCGGGGTGAGAGCAGGGGGAGCAGTAGGCTTAGGCTTAGGGTTAGGCTTAGGGTTCGGGTCCGTGCTCAGCTGGAGCCCCGCCCAGGCCCTCAGAGGCAGCCCCACCGTGGTTCCAGGATTTGTCCTAACCTCCTCTTCTGTCCTTTTCTCTTTGCTGTCCCTCGGCTGCCAGGCCAGCAGCAATGCCCACAGGTAATCTCCCCGCTGCCTCTGTCCACTGCTCTGCCCTGTGCCCCCTGCGCCCGCAGCACCGGGCCCCCGGCGGTGGTGGCGGCGGCGGCAGTCCCATCCTGTGCCCTCTGAGCTTTCTCCTTTCACAGAGTTGCAGGCTCTCCCCAAACAGCAGCCAGGCGGGCACCTCTGCCACCGGTACATGCCCTTGACCAGAATTGAAACTGGGTCCCTTTGGTCCACAGGCCGATGCTCTATCCACTGAGCCAAACCAGCCAGGGCTTGATGTTTCTCTCTCTCTCCCTCTCCCTTTTTCTCCCTAATCGGTGGCTGTATACAGTGCCAGCCCCTCTGACACCCTCCCTCCATCTCCTGGCAGGTGGCAGCCCTGGACCTGGGCAACGGCCCCATCCGGAATGTGCTGATAGTTCTGGCTGTGGTTCTGTTGGGCCAGTTTGTGGTACGAAGATTCTTCCAGTCATGACCCCAGGAGGGGTCCTTTGGGGTCCCAGCTGAGACCCCCACCTGGACTTCAGCCAAGCCTTCTTCCCTTACCTGTCCCCTGCAGGGGTCCCCCCTCAAGGGTACAGAAGCTTTAGCAAGTGGCACTCCAGCTTTGAAGGGCCCCTGCTTGGGGTCGGTCAGGCTGCGGGGGCACCCCAACATTGCATGGTGCTAATGGACCCCCTCTCTGGGCTCAGCTCTCTCTGATGGGCTTTAGGGAGGTTGATAACTTGGGGAAGCAAGAAGCTAGGAAACACATTTCCCCAAGAAGTTTTTAATGGTTTTAGCTTTTTATAATGGCCTTAGGACAACCCCACCCCTTGTCCCCACCACTCTGCCACAGGCCAGGACATGGGATATGGGGGTTAGGAGGCCTATCCTGTACCCCAGATTTAGCTGTTCTGGAAGGTCAGAGCTTGAGAGCTGACCTGGAGCCCAGTCCTAGCCCTTCCAAAGCTTCATGTCCCCAACAGGGCTGGCCGGGGTTGGGGGACAAGGACCTACTTAACCCCCACCCCCCACCCCACCTATATGGCCTTGGCCGGCAGACTCTCAGGGATTAGGGCCCGGGGTGTGGGGTGAGGAGGCAGACCGAGCTGTCTGGCTTTATCCACCAGGCCCCTCCCAGCCTGCCTCCCGAGGCCCTCGGCCCCCTCCCTTCCCCTCGCCACTTGCTCCGAGGCGTCACTACTTGAGAAGGCTGCCTGCCCCATCACTCCATGCCAGGGGGGCAGGGGCCTCCTTGCACAGACTCTAGGGTTTAGGACTGTGGTTTGTGATGGTCAGGGAAAGGGGTAGGGAGCTCATCTTGAGGTTTCTGAGAGAAGGGCTATGAACATCACCAGAAACCCCAAGGGTGGGATCTGCTCTCCTGGCCTGGGCGCAGTGTAATCTGGGAGAACTGAATACTTGAACTTTACCCCAAGCCCACCATCTGCCTAAGCCCCTCCTGGGGGTGGGATGGATCAATAATGATTTACAATCATTGATCAGCTGCCCCCTCCCAGGTATGTGCCCTGATCTGGAACCAAACCACTGGGGATTTGGGAAGAGAAGTGGTTGGTTGAGCCAAATGCAGGGGAGAAGCAGACGGAGCCCCCTGGCCACCCCACCTCTGAGAGTGTTGGACAATAAACTGCCTCCCCCTCCCACTGGGAA